GGAGGGGGCAGGCTTCTAGGGATGGGGGCTGGGGGAGTGAGGCAGGGGTGGGAACCGAGGGACTGGACAGGGAGAGGTGCAAAAGAAGAAAGGCTGGTTGTGGAGGAGGAAGGCAGTGTGGCCAAGGAGATAGAACCTGGGGGAAGGACAAGGCTGGCCAAGGATGGAGTACCAGTGGCAGGGCTGGAGGAAAGGAGGTGGTGAGGCAGGGGACCGTGAGAGATGGACGCAGTTAGGTGCGTGCACACACATTCAAGATGATACATTTCCCGTTTCAGCTCGGATCCCAGCCTGATGCAGAGAAAAGAAAGACATACTAATTGTCACAACCAGCAGATTGTGCCCCCAAGCTTGTACCAGGCACTTCCAAACTTCAAAGCCTCAGCTTCATACCTCTGAAGGAGTCATAAACCAAATATGACATGTCACATGCAAGAACCTCTTAACTACCTCCAGATTCCTTGTGCTTCATGAATGAAAACACCCACGTTACATAAGGCTCTCTACTGGGCGGTAGACTTTCTGAGGCAGGTCCTCTGGGCACCTCCTCAATGCCTAGCACAAAGCTGACGCTCCCCAGTCAGCAGCTGAGTTGCATCTTCAGACGTGGTCCAGGTGTCTGGCTTTAGTCTCGAAGACACCCGAGCTGGAATCCCAGATCTGCCAATATTCTCACTAGCAACCAACGGGCAAGTTACTGATGCTCTTTGCGCCCCAATTTTCCTCACCTGCTAAAGGAAGCCAATGATATTTACTTCATGGAGATGTGAAATAAAGTGCCTGGCACCTAATAGGCACTTAGTAAATAGTAGTTGCTGTTATTTCAATACACTGTTCTCAATACCCTGAAACCTATAGAACCTGTGAAAAATTCTGATATCTAAAGAGACATGTGCTAAATTTGTGTCTTAATAAGAACTTATATCTTTCTGTGCTATTTTCCTATCCGATTCCAGTTCTATTTCATTTTGACTCAGAATATTTCTCAGGGGGGGCTGCCCTGTGCAAGTCACTCAAGTATGTGGTCACAGGACACATCCTCTAAGATAAAAACCCTGTGTGACTTCTAACAGGCTAACATTCAGAACGTTAAGTTCGATAAAAGTATGGACTTACGGGAAGGACTGCTTGTGGTTTTCCGTTTCACATACAAGGAGGGGAAAAGGTTAAGGTAGGGAAATGTAATGGGAGGCATTGCTAACTGGGTTTGAAGAAAGGAATTCCAAAAGATTCTTGGGTTTAAGGTAATTTCTGAGAACAATGTAGTGTTTTGAGTACCAGACATTTGACATTGAGAGACAGAACTTGGTTAAAAAAGAAGAGGGACAGAAAAAAAAAAGAAAAAAAAAAAAGGTAAGTGTACTTGTCTGGGCAGCGGATGAGAAAGGAAATGTAAGTGCAGGAGGAATATGAGGAACCATTGTTGAGGAAAACAGTGGGAAGGGAAGTAGGGAAAAAGAAGGGGAGTAGTTTTGGGGGCAAGGGTTGAAAGTTTGGAAGCAAAAAAGGTATCAATTTAACTCAGGAAGATAACGATGAAGGATTTAGCTGAAAAAGGACAGTGTTATTTTTTGGGGGGTGTGTGGCGATGACAGGAGGGTTTGGTGAAAATGAGAAAAGAGTGTAGGCAAGCACCGATGCTTTCAAGGCTGTGCCCCGACTCTCTGTGTTTAAGCAGCAGAATGGAGAGCCCTCTAAAAGGGGTGGGTTTTCTTCCTAAATTCAGCTTGAGATAGCTATACAATATCCAAATAAAGATGACCTTCAGATAATTGGGGGAAATTGCCTCCAGGGAGAGCGTGTGGAGGCGAAGAAACACGTCTGGGAGATAGACTGCATGGAAACAGGAGAGGATGAGCTCACTTGGGGAGAAAATAGGCAAACGGAAGACTGCAGTTGAATTTTTGAAGAATGGTGAAAGGTTAGGGGATACCGAATAGTTCATTGAAGAAATAATGCATGCATGTTGAATAAATGAGATAATTAAAGCAAACCATCAAAGAAAAAACTGAGAAATGAGGATGGCACTCTTAGAAAGTGAGAGCTAAGGCAGGGCCAGTGGGAAAAAGGCAACCGGTAAATCTTCCCAGGGTTCTCCATCTAGCTTAACCATGTGAGCTGGACTGAAAAAAGTACTCATCTGTAAAGTGGGGATGACAATGACAGTGTGTGCTTCACAGGATTCTTGTGAGGATTAAATGAATTTACACCTGTAAAGCCCAGAGGACAGTACCTGGCGCTACATATGTGTTTGCTGTTATAACAACTGGACTCAGACTCCAGAGTCCCGGGGTTAAGTCCTAGCTTGGGCAAGTCCCTCACCTCTCTCTCTTCCCTCATCTGGAAATAATAAAACTGACTTTACAGGGTGGCTGTGAAAGAAGATACCTGAAAGGGCTTTGAAAAATGTAAACCACTGTACAAATGGATGGCATTATTATAGCTTCCCCTCCTCAAACTGTAATAAAAACTTAAAAGCTAACATCAGATGCTTTCTATATTACAGGCATCATGCTTAGTACTTTATGTGTATCATTCCCATTCAATCTTCAAAACGACTTTTAAGAGGTTGGGTGCTGTTATTACCCCTATTTTACAGACAAGAAACTGGGTCTCAGAGAATGTAAGCCTATCATCTGCTCAAAGTCACACAGTGAGCAAGTGGCACAGCAAAGAAGACAAGATGCCAAAGCCCAAACCCGCGACGAGAGGCTTATGGACGTGGCCCAGCCTGTTGCCTGCAGGGTCAACGATCCACCTTGCGTCACTGTCAGCCAGTCAAGGGGGGAAAGAGTCCCCAATAAAACTCCCTGCTCAATAGGAGAGGTTGTTGGGTAATCACTTACAGAATACCTGGAAGACATTCCTGGATTTTTTTTTATTAAAAAAAAATTGTAATGCTCTCTAGGTGCCAAGGACTATGTGGGGTAGGGGATGGCCGCCCAGGGGGCCCTGACAGGCCGTGTTCCTCCGCTTTCTCTACCACGAGGTTTCCTCGCGTCCGAAAGGGGTTCTGCTAATCCCCTCTCTTCCTGGCAAGCCGGCTCTCGTAGGACCGAGACAGTGAGTCTCCCTCCACCCCGCCGCCCTCCCCATTCCCGGGAAACAGGTGAGCGGGAGCCGCGCGGAGAGGC